AAATTGGTTTGATTTCAGTCTTTAAACTTCGACGAAAAATATGATGAATAGTAAATATTGATGAGAAAGTGAATCATGTCTTTAACATCTGTTTTTCGATCTATTATGGTACAAATATCGCTTCGAATCATCATACAATTAACAAAAAGAATACGATGAAATTTCTCTCTCGTAAGTTCTGATTTAAATTTCATTCGTTTTCTCTGTATAATGTCTGTTTGTAGTGTGTCTGTATTTGTTATTTGTACAATTGATAACATGGTCATCAATTTCGGCACATTCTGTGTCTCACACGCTGTTTGTTGATCCAACAGAAGACCCATTTCTGGATATTTATATTGAAACGGTAGCACCAATGAGTACCAAAGCGATTATAGCTATTCCGAAAATGAATGATACGGAATTCCTAGCTTATTTACTTAGTAATAAAGATTCGACTAGTGGTTAGTTGAGAGAAAAGATTGGGAGAATTCTCTCAAGTATTCTCCTGTTTCATTTAGGTGTTGCACTTCGTGTTGAGAATAGTATTTTCGATACTCTGCGTGATGACCAATTAAAACAGCAGACAGAAATTGACAAAGAATGGGAAATATTAATGGTATCTGGTACAATTGTTATTGGGTACATGAGCAATCTTATGATTATTGCTAGCAAACGTGATTTTTCTTTACAAGTTCCATTAGGCTATGTCTATCGTTATATTATGTGAGTAATTGAGAATATCATGAAAAATACTCGGCATCATATTAGAAATCTAAAAATCATTTTCTTTTGAAAACAATCTTTCTTAAAAGTACATGTGGCAATCCCTGTTTTGCCAAGCGTCTATGAATACTAAAGAAAACTTGGACTTATTATCGGATCCCATCAGAGGATTTCTGATATCCCCATATATTGTTGATTTCGAATAGATACCCAAATTCTTTTCAAGCAACTCTTATTCAAGCATCAAATGATATGTACAAAGCATTAATGGGTGCTCACTTCGCCATGGATAGTATTCAATCCGCCATGCGACAAGTACCGTCATCTGTGAAAACAGCAATGAAATTGATTACATCGGCATCCCCTGCTATACTCAAAGCGATGTTACCACGAGTTTTTGATAGTATCGGACGTTTAGCAACTGAAAGCGCCAATCAAGCCAATTCGACTTTGCAACGTTTCAATTTACTACAAGAATTACTTGTTGAAATTATTCAATTGAGTGAACATACGCAAGGAGCTAATGAAGTCGCTATTTATAACATGGAAGCTAAGAAAAATCAATCGATACTTGATCAAGAATGTCTTCAAAATAATCTCAATTCTATTCAGAATCAATACAATACATCTAAAGCAGCTTTGGAAAATGTCAGAAAAAAATATGTCGAAGCCGTACAACTTGTTACAGATTCATCAATGCCTACAATCCTTGGTGGTCAATCAGATCTTCTCACATATATCATTACGATCGCCATCGGTGTTGTATTCAATCCAGTCGATACTATCGGCTGTATTTTAGGTAGCTGTAACAATTCGGAGCCAATTTTAGACACTGGCAAATTTGAGAATGCCATGAAAATTGCTGAACAAGCTCGACATGATCTAGAAAAAGCAGAACAACTTCACAATGAACATTTTCAACAACAGTTAGCCGAACAGAATGAATTAGTGAAGGCCGTGGGACAAATGGCTATGCTCGATTTGAGTATCTTCAGTAAAGAAGAAGTCGTTCGGCTTCTACTCAAAGTAATGCAACAAATCAGTTTGTTCAAAGAACAATGGAGTCGTATGATTCGATTCTTCTCGAAATTAGCTGCTCAAGTTCAAAGTACTCAACAGGTATGGATAGTTTCATTTTTCTGTAATCAATCATTACGATCAAGAATTTCCCTGTTACATAGATCATTATCAAAGATTTTCTGAAAGTCATTGAAACAGCCGAAACCAATAACTTATCGATCAATGCGATTGATCGAAAATTCTTCACTGAAATATTGATACGGGCCACAACAACGATTGAAACTGGTGCTCATTTATTATTCACTATGGCCAAAACCTACCATGCAGTTTCTAGTGAACATATGATTAATCAAATAGCAGGCATTAGTCAATTGTTAACTTTACAAACAGATGAAGCACGCATAGCCCATATACAACAAGCATCCAATGAGACCATCACTACATTATTGATGATCATACAAATGGCACAAGAACGACATAGTATTTATCTTCAAAAGACACGTACTCGACAGGCAGAATATACTGCTTATATGACTAATCTAGCCGCTTCGGAACTATCACAATCAATAGGTTAAATAGTGATTAAGATTGTGATATAAAACCAAATAAAAATGCTTCATTCGATAATTTTCAATTCAATGCAATCAAATCTAACCGTATACTGTCGAGAGAACATTTATTAGTTACGCAGACCGAAATAGACGTTTGACTACTCGTAGACAGTAATTGAAGCCGTTGTTTTTTTTCGAACTATTATCCGTGAGAATGATCTTCGACACATCTTTCGTGTAAAACACGTCTCAAATCGAATCATCTTTGTTTCAAATCGAGCGAATTCATTAGACCAAGTATGGTGTGGGTGTGGGTGTGGGGTGGGTGTCGGTGTGTGGAGTGTGCGTGTGGGGTGGGTGTGGGTATG